TGGACATGATCTGTGTTAATGAAATTGTGCAAGGTGCTGGGAGAGACTGGCCCTTTTATAATTTAGTTCTAGGCATCAGCATTAAATCTATGTACCTGGGAAAGCAGCTGTCTCCAAGTGGTAGAGTATCACTAATGTCACCCCCTGGGCCTTTTGCTGTAGGTGATTCATTTTTCTCATTAGGCATTGAAGCTATTTTCTAGTCCTTAAGCTTGTAGCCTCAAATTCCACCATTACTTCATGTCATCTCCCTGTGACCTAGCAAAGTCAGCTTTGCTCCAGGGGCCAGACTGCAAAACTTATCTTGAACAATTCAGCTGAAAATACGGCATAAGGTGCCAGCCATATGACAGCAGTAAACCTGGTAGGTACCCATCTTTGCCTGGAAAGTATTGCTATGGGTGAGAGCCTGTATGTCACATTTTATTATTTTTATCCCTAAGTTTAGATTCTCTTAGCTTGTCTCAAGATGCTCTTTTGCAATTGTGATATTAATCTACAGCAGCAGGTGCCAGATTGTTGTCCCTGATCCACCCTGGTCAGTGGTGGTCACTGAGGCCCCAGTAAATCAGCTGTGAAACCTCACCTGCCTTGCCAGTGCCTCCAGGTAAAACCTCAGTGTGTTCAGGTGAGGAGAGCCTTTGCTTCATGCTCTCGAACACATGGAGTAACCTTACTGGGAAGGAAAAAAGGATCAAGCAGCTGTTTGGCAATGTGTGTTTGAAACTTGATCTTATTATTTATAAACTAGGGTTTAACCTTTTAAAATGTTTATTATTATGCCTCTCAGCAGTAAAATGGCATCACAATTCTTGCAGATGTATTTGTACTTTGCATTTGGGTTCACTTATGACTACTTTAACAAAACATGCTTGTATTTGTATTCCAAAGTGTCATTTGTCCATTTGTCTCACCAAAACAACCGAACTCTGAAACATGAACCGGATTCTTTTCTGGCTTGTGCTTGTAAAAAAAAAAAAAAAAAAAAAAAAAAAGTTAATCAGTTGGCTTATCTTCAGAGCAAGCCTGTGTATGGACTGGCTTCAGATAATGGTATTGCTTACACCTGTGCAGTTGATCATATCAGAACTGCTTTTAGGCAACTGAATATAATTTGTGGTCTTTAAGGTGTGACTGAAGCCTCATTTGGATCTCGAAACACTATATGCTTAAGGAAGAATGTAGGTTCATCATCAAATCCTAAACTGAGATTACAGAGACTGTCAATAAATGGAGAAAAAAGAAAACTTTGATTTGAAACTGGGAAGAAAACCGCTCAGGAATCACTAAGGCACAGGCTAAGGAACTGTGGTTTTGAGCGCAGGACTGTAATTTAAGTACTTAGATAAATTTGACTCCTTTAACAAGATTATCAAATAATTTAGTAGAAACACAATGCTACCTCTATATTGTAAGGCAGTTTTAGAAGCCACTGGACAGCCAAGCCTTCAAGGGTTTGTTACATAGTACAGCCTGGAGAAGAAATAATGATTGTGGAGAATAATCTAACTACACATTCTTAAACTCTCTGAAATCAGTTCTGATTCCCAGTTCTGTCATCATGGTTTAGACAAAACTTTGGCTGTTAAGAATGACAACAGTGATGCATCTTGATTAAAATGAAACTGATGTTTGGTAAGTGTCCTCTGCTGTGGTGGGTTACACCCATGTGAATCCTTTAAGGCCCTTGGTATCAGGGCTGACTTCTGTGCAGCAACTCAACGAACAGCAGTAGTAATGAACAGTAATGGCAAACAAAGAGTTTCTATATTCCTGATGTACAAATGAAATATAGACGGGTGAACCGAGCGAGACTGATTCTGTATTCCTTCTCAGCTGGAAACATATTAGGTTGGGCAGCTGTTGCAGCATCGGATGCACAGGCACGTTTTACTTGCAGAAATACGACACACAAGCTTGGAACAAAACTATCACTGCCACAGGTTATGGTGACATATTGCAGCCCTCAGGACACAGACTCTGTGTTTCCCCCTTGTCACTTGTAAAAGTTCCTGTTGCATTCTCTACTGATGACTTCTGGTTCATACAGCTTCCTTTTTCCTTGTGGAAATAGCAGTGGAATGGGAACAGCGTGGTTGGAGGCTGCTGTGGGTGCCCTTTGCGATGCCGTGGGTTCCTCCAGAGAAGGACAGCAGGGAGGGAAGGGACAGTTTGTCCCCAGCAGCCCTGCTCCCCTACAAAAATGGCTCCCTAGGCCACGTTGTGGCCCCCTCCTCCAGCCTGCAGTAATGCTGTAGCTAAACAGGGCTGTGAATTGTGGCAAGGATGTCCTACGGTGGTTGTGTCTTGTGGGAAGTTTCAGGGCCAAGTCATCAACAGATTACAGGAAAACATTTTTTAAGAATAAAAGCCTGCTTGCTTTTAAATCTACTTTAATTGTGTTCACATTGGATGTCCCACTGCAGTCAGCTTGAGACAGGACAGTAAGTTACATTAAGGCTGTTTAGATCCCAAAATACGCCACTACTCTTGCTCAAAAATTCAGTGCATTCCCCAAGAACAATACAACATGCCTGCCATGACAGGGGCAAAACTGAAAGGTTTCTAACAGAAAAAGGTAACAGGAAAATTGCCAAAAAAGGGACAGCTGGAAAGAGTGGGGAGGACATGGAGTTTGAAAAAAATAGTATGGAAGGTCTGCTGTATCTTTCCGAATGAGACTTAAATGAATAAATCTGGGAACAGCCCTACCCTTAACCCTCTGTTTTATGAGTATAGATTTTACTGAAGCATTCACATTCTTCAGATATGCTTCTGTAGTTCTCAGTTTAACTCTCAGGCCCTTTATCCACACATCCTTCTACCTACTCCTCTCCTTCAACCAATTTTCCCTTTGAACCTTCTCTGACACCTTAACCTGGTGATTACAGGTTGTAACACGTGCACTTCTCCCATGAGAAGGCTGAAGTTCTTGGAGAATTCATAGCAGAGATGTCTCTGTGCTGCTTTTACATACTATTATATGGCACAGAAGTTCATGCAAAAATGGAAGTCCTAATAGCACCCAGAAAATAGGCATAAAAAATCCTTTCTCTTTCCAGTATATCTTCACCTGCTTAGAGCAGCTTTTCATTTCCATCACAACTCACCTACCTAGAAAACATTGTCTGCGAAGATCAGTGAAGACTTTTGCATACAAACATAAAATCACAGTGTTGCTCAGAAAAGGAGTGGAAAATGCCTGTGGTCTCCCTATCTTCTCTGCATAGTTAAAACTACACTAAAGCTCCTTTTGGTCTTCTCCCCATCCCCAAAGCATCCCCCTGCAACTGAGTAGTGCCTAAAGCCCCATAGCTGCCCCTAGGAGGGGGCAGCAGCAGGGTATTACCTGGCTAGTTTGTGCTTTACAATGGAAAGCATGAAGTGTGTGATAGCACCAGAGTCCAGGGCTTCTTGTACAAGTAGAGTCCCTTCTGGGAGGGGCAAGGAAAGAGGAGCCTTGTGCAGTCAGGCAGTCCTGTAACACAGGGCCACTGAGAGGCCCTCTGGCATCCCTAACTCTTTGTGCTCTCACTTGTTAACAACTTCTATAATGCATATTTAGCACCTGTTTATCTAGTTCTTCCCCAGCCTGTTTCACGATGGCAGGTGATAACCCAGATTCCCCATTCGTACTCATCTCTGGTCCAAGTTTGCTTCCCTGTGAATTGCGATGACAAATTTCTCCTGATAGCTCTAAATCTCATTACGGGGGAAGATCTCCATCGATGATTTGCTACAGTGATGCCTTTGAAACCCTCAGGCTAAGCTGATCTAGAGGTCAAGTAGGGTCAGAAGATGTCTTTAGGACGTTAGGTTTGTCTGTTGAGGTGAACAACCAAACACATCTCAAGGTGGAAACACTCCAGCTCTGCTTGCACATGTTCTGAGCACCCCTGAAACCTCCCTCAGCACATCTGTGGTGTGTCTTACTCACCCTAAAAGAACAGAAAACAGCAGGAAAACTCTGCAGGAACTGGCTGCGGAGCCAGTGCTGCCCAGAAGTAAACTCTGGAGAAATGGGCGCTGCCAATCTTTCAAGTACCATAGCAGAATCTATATTAGCAAAGCTGACGTCCAGAGGAAGGTTCTGAAGGGCGAGGAGGTGGGAAACGAGGACCAAGCTTTCCAAGATACTTGCAACAGCTATGGAAAGTCACTTACTGGAATATTCAGAAGCACTTTGCTATATAGGTCCCATAAGGGTATTTTGATGTCTGGGCAATACACCCAGGTATCACGAAGTTAGCATGAGCACTGTGAATATTTAAGAGCAGGTCAAAAGAGCAAAAGCCCCTCTGAAAAAACACTGGAAACAGCAAGGCAAAATGATGTTTGTTTTAGTTCTGCCAGAACAGCTCTGTGAATTTAACAATAAGATTACTAAGGAGGATCCAGAAATAAAATACACATCTGGAGTAACTGCATGGGGCACAATGGGCAGATGAGCAAATATTTAAGTACAATTCTAGTTACTATATCCAACAGATGATACAGAGCAATCATTTGTCTTTATGCTGCTATTAAGGTTGCTGTCCTGAACAGGCAGAGCTGAGCAGCCAAACCAGTTCCCTTATCCCAGTTGTGATTAAGTGGCAGGTTTCTACAAACACACTTTTTTATATTTAGCTATGCCTGCCATAGCCTCATCAAATGCTAGTACTCACCCTTTCAGCTGCTTCCTCTGACAGTGGCTTTGAGCTATTTAATGCATCTGATGATGATCACTCCTGCAGGGAGCCATAGTGAAATGCATTCACCAATCCCTGCTTTATTTACTCCTGGGGTATTTTGCTAGAGGCATTCAATGGGCAGAACATCTTTCTTTTCTCTTGAGATTAGAAATGATGTGAAATACATATGCATTAATATCTTTGTAGCTTTATATCCATTTGCATTGACTTTCTAGAGATTTAGTCAGGGTTGGGGAAGAATGTTTCCAGGTGAGCCTGATTGGGTTCAACTAGTTGTGACAGATGCAGTTCATTTGGGGGTGGGAGGGAGAATGGTGAAGAGAGGATAAAAGGCTTTGGAAGGCACTGTAGAGTCCTCTGTGTCAGGGAAACTTTCTAGTCTTCTGTCTTGGTAACTGTCTGTTGTTTTTTCTATCTTATTATGCCATCACCCATTCCTTGTAATTGTTTTCTTCCTTTGGAGTTTTCCCCATCTGCAGATTTGCGACCCTGCAGCAGCCCCTTAGTTATCCCTGGCAATGTCAGAAAGAACTTCCTAGGGGGAACTCTCTCAGTCAGGACTTGCTGCTTGCCTCCACGCCTGTCCTGGTGCTCCATTGACTGGGAGCAGCTCTGCCTCCTGCAGCCCCTAGGCTCTGGGGGCTTCGGTTCTGTCTACAAAGCCACCTACCATGGTGCAACTGTGGCTGTAAAGCAGGTGAAGAAGAGCAGCAAAAACCGGCTAGCATCGCGACAGAGCTTCTGGGGTGAGCTGAACGTAGCCCGGCTACAGCACAGTAACGTGGTGCGTGTGATGGCTGCCAGCACGTGTGCCCCGGCCAGCCAGAACAGCTTGGGCACCATCATTATGGAGTATGTGGGCAACATCACACTGCACCATGTAATTTATGGCACTGGTGACATGTGGGGACAGGGTGAGGACGATGAAGGAGGATGTGAAAGGAAGGCCCTGAGCATGGAAGAGACTGTGTGCTACTCCTGTGATATTATGACTGGCTTAGCCTTTCTGCACTCACAAGGCATTGTGCACTTGGACCTGAAGCCTGCAAACATCTTCATCACTGAGCAGGGAGTGTGCAAGATCGGGGACTTTGGGTGCTCCCAGAAACTGGAGGAGGGCTTGTCCCAGAGTCCCCATGTCTGCCAGCAAGGGGGCACGTACACACACCGTGCCCCAGAGCTCCTCAAGGGAGAGAGGGTCACTGCCAAAGCAGACATCTACTCATTTGCCATCACACTCTGGCAAATTGTCATGCGAGAGCAGCCTTACCTGGGTGAGCGGCAGTATGTGCTCTACGCTGTGGTAGCCTATAACTTACGTCCTTCACTGGCTGCTGCTGTTTTCCACGAGTCACCAGTGGGCCAGAGACTTCAGAGCATTATTAGCTGCTGCTGGAAGGCTAATGTAGAGGAGCGCCTGAGTGCAGCCCAGCTGCTTCCCAGCCTCAGAGCCCTCCAGGGGAGCCTCTAGGAAAACTCGGGACTCATATCATTTCTTTTATCGTTGACTTTTCTTTCCCTCCATCATTTCTTTGAACGTAATGAATTTGGCCCTGCGTAATCTAAAGAATTTGTTGCTATTTTTTATACTTAAAAAAAAAAAACCAAACCAACCTGCTTTGTTATAAGATTATAAATAAAGAGATTTAACAAAACTGTGGGGTTTTACCATGGGAGGAGATAGAGGCAAGGATCAAGATGTTGGCAAATATGACTTTTTCTGGTTGATTTGTTGTGTGCTGCCTTGCTCAGGGAGAAACTAGGGAATGTGATGTGCAGAAAAATTTTTCAAGTACAGAGAAGGGCTGCTTTTGGAAGGTTCTTTGTACATAATACCTTTTGGTATTTCCAAAATGTCAGATATGAGTAGTTCTTTACACTAGCTAGGTTTGTGCATTTGAGCTTTTTCCTCTTCATTTACCAAGGAATGGGTATGCATCACAAATCAATGAATGCAGAAAAATAAATACAGAGTGTCAGTGGGGCTTTTTTATGGTTCTTAGATGTACTTAATTCCAGTTAAGTATGCTGTTTCTGAAATGGAAAAAGTGAACTACCCAATCTCCCCATTGAAATAAGGAACATTTGTGTCAGTCTAAGGCTATTAAGAGTAAAGCAGATATATTAACAATCTATGCTTTTTAGAAGACCTCTGTGCTACCAGGTATGTTAGTTGCAACTTGCTAGTTGGTGTATTGTAAACTTTAATATCTGAAGTATTATATGAGCATCCTGTGTTCCCAGGAATAGAGTTCCCAGGTTTTAGATGTATGGGGGACTAAAAAAAAAAAAAAAGTAGGGGAAACATGAAGGGAGATGTAGAGATACAGAAACCTCATAAATCAGGGTAAGGGGTTGATAATTCACGCTTTGTAATGCATGGGTCAGTATTAGACGAGATGCTGGAAATACTGAAAAGGAAGGTTGCTTGAAGCTGTAATAGTGATTCCCTGCCAGTACTCAAAGCATACACTATTGAACTGTCCTCTGCACTGCTTCTGTCTTAACTACTAACTTTCCTAATCTGGTTGTAATGTGTCTGAGGAAGGAAGTGCTGTAGGCAATGCCAAAGACAAACAGCTCTGATCCCCGATTTATCAGAAATTATAATTATGGATCTGTCTGGTTCTCAACCCTTATCTGGAGCTATGAAGATCTGACTGCTGTAGCTGATTCTGCCATTCTGCTTAAAGACTCCACTTCTTTTTAAAACAGGAGAAAGAGTGATGTTTCAGTCAAACTCTTTCTTTCCCCTTCCTCCCCCTTGCTTCCATTCTGGAAAAAAATCCCAACGGAATTGAGCCAGTTTCCTGATTTCTGACACACATCTGTTCTTAGCCCCGTGAAATCCTGGAAATGAGCAACTATGTGAATTTGAGATGATTCTGTAGGTCTTAATGTTATTTGGGTTGGTCATTGAAATTAATGGTTTATAAAGCATATCTAAGCTTAACTGTTTCCTGTTCTTCTGTCCCCCTTACACAGAACTGTAAAATGCTGGCTGGAACCTAAGGTAAATTCTGGAATAGATTTCATTTTTTTCTGTCAAGATAATTATGCTATAAAACCAGAACTTTTTTTCTTGCATAACTTTTAATAACTTTTGTAAGATATTTCTTGTTTATCATAAGCCAGTTACCTCTTAAAATGATTAGCTGAGGGCGTGTAAGATAAAATGTTGGATAAAGCCATTGGCATGCCTCACCTTAACATTAAGCCCTACATAAAAATGTTTCTCTAGTCTTAAAAAGAATATAATAAAAAAAATGGAATTAAAGTTTAGTAGTTACTATATGCTTAAGTGTTGTACTTATTTTGCCAGTCTAGGTGGATTGTTCCTTAAACTGCTAGAAACTCGGTATTTTGTGCTTCATGATACTTTAGCATCAATAAGTGCTACTTGAGTCTCTGAAAAATCAAGCACCCTTCAATTTCTCTGTTGTACTTGAGAGAAGAATACTGGATGGCCAGGACCTACTCTTGAAGAGTAATCAGCTCTGCAGATGTCTCTGTCCATTTTACTGCATTCTCTTTTGAGAGGAAATGAAGACTGCACAGCACTCAAGAAGTAGGCACACCATAATCTGCTGTCATAACGATGTTCTCTGTTTTTTTAGTAACTTCTAAGATTTGGGTTGCTTCTTTTTGATTACAAGTGAGTTTTGAGTTAATAGTGAGAAACATCTCAGGCCTGATATCTCAGAATCCATGGTTCTATGTGATGAGGATTATTTTGCCTGTGTGCCTCACTTTACATCAATCTACCTTGAATTTTATTCTGCCGGTTTGCAGCTGGCTGTTGCACTCAATGTCCTAAACTCTACCAGCAGCAAACTTGTTTATCTTGTGGCTCATCCTCTTGCACTTCATTTATGGATGTGCTGAGCAGCACAGAACCCTGTTAAACACCAGTGGGCACTTTGTCTAGTTGAGGGAACTGACACTTTACTTTTACTCTCTGCTCCTATCTTTTGATTTATCCAGCTCAGGATTTTTTCTCCTAAACATGGCTGCTTAGTACATTTAAAGTTTGCAGTGAAGGATTTTTCAAATACATTTGGAAACCCTAAGAACATATCAACCAGCTTCTTATTTGCATGCTGTTGTTGGTCCTAAAGAATTCCAATATAAATCGACACAACTGTGAAGAACAACTCCTTCCAACCAAGGCAATATTGGCTCCTTCTAAACAAATTATATCTATGTGCCTATTAATTTCTTTAATGTAGTATCTGATAATGTATCATGTACAGAAGTTAACCATGTAATTAGGAAGGTTATTTCTTAAAGACTTCCATGAAATATGGTCCTGGAGAAAAGAGAGGCTCAGAACACCTGGTTGATTTTCAAGGATCACCTCCTCTAAGCTCAAGATTGGTCCACTCCAATGAGCAGGAAATCAAGCAAAGGTGGCAGAATGCCTCCAAGGATAAACAAGTTGCTCCTGATTAAACTCAAACATAAAAAATAAACATGCAGGACTTGAGAGATCAGTGGGAAGTCTGGAGCAAGGAAGACTTACTGTTGGTAGAGAAAGATCAGGCTAGGGAACATTCAAACAAGACACAAGTTTGTGGGACATGATGGGATGCACTCATAAATGCTGACAGAGTTTGCTGATGTCATTGTGAGGCCACTCCTGATTATCTTTGGAAGGTCATGGTGGTCAGGAGAGATTACTGAGGACTGGAAGAAAGCAAATCTAACTATCTGCAAGATAGACAAAAAGGATGATTTTGAAAACTACCATCCTGTCAACCTCACCTCTAAATACCTGGGAAAGTGGTAGAACAAATAATTCTGGAAACTGTTACCAAACATATGAAGGACAAAAATGTTATTAGGAGTAGTTGGCATGGATTTATGAAGAGGAAATAATGCTTGACCAACCTGGTAGCCTTCTGCAATGAGATTACTGGTTACTGGATGAGGCGAGAGCAATGGATGTTGCTTATCTTGCATTTAGGCTTTTGTCACTGTTTCCCATTACATCCTTCTAGAGAAACTGATGAAGTATGGGCTAGAGAGTAAAAAAGGAAAACCAGCTGAGCTGCTGGGCTCAAAGGGTTTTGATCAGTGGCATGAAGTCCAGCGGGAGACCAGTCACTAGTGATGTATGCCAGAGCATACGTATGGGCCCGGTACAGGTTAACATCTCACTTGAAAATACTGGATGATGGGATGGAGTATTCCCTCAGCAATTTTGCGGATGATGCACAAGTGGATGGAGTGTTCAGTACCTCAGATAGCTGTGCTGGTATTAAGAAGGACCTTACTCAGCTGGAGAAATCTGCCGATAAGAATCAAGGCAGGGAATTTCAAATGCTAGCACCTGGTGGAGGATAACCCCATGCACCAGTACAGACTGGGGGCCGGCCGGCTGGACAGCGGCTTTGCAGGAAAGGACCTGGAGCTGCGGGCAGACACCGAGCTGAACATGAGCCAGCTGTGCGCCCTTGCGGCAAAACCGACTAACAGCATCCGGGGGTGCACTATAAAGGGTGTTGCCAGCTCTTCCAGAGCATTGCCAAAAGAGATTATTCCCCTCTGCTCACTCAGCCCTGGTGAGACAGATCTGGAGCGCTGTGGGCAGCTCGGGAGTGCCGGAACAAAGCCATGGGTGTACTGGACCGGGAGCGCAGCGAAGGGCTGGTAAACTGGTTAGGGGATTGGAACCTCAGCATGTGAGGAGAGGCTGAAAGATGGGACTGTTAAGCCTGGAAAGAGGAGGCTCAGGGGGATCTTATAGGTTTCTATAAATCCTGATGGGAGGCAGTAAAGATGGAGCTCTTCTCAGCTCTTGGTGGTGCCCAGTGACAGGACAAGATGCAATAGACACAGACTGAAGGATAGCAAGCTCCATTCAAATGCAAGAGAAAATATTTTTACTGTGAGGATGGTCAGGAACTCTGGAATGGGTTGCCCAGAGATGTTGGGGAGTCTTCATCCTTGGAGATATTCAGAACCCCACTGGACACGGCACTGAGCAAGCTGCTCTAGTTGGCCCTGCTCTGAACAGGGCGATGGACTAGATGATCTCCAGAGGTCCCTTCCAACCACAAAAGTTCTGTAAGTGTAATAACATTTATAGATGTTTGAATTTCAGACAGCTCCCGAGTTGTCCTACAAAAATGCTTCTAGCATGAGACCATTTTGTGTTTCCTGCAGGGGTAACACGCATGCAAGGAATATGTGATTCTTTGCAATGGCTTTGTTGTCTTAAGGGTGATCAGGTTACAATGATTAGGGTCCTTTCCCAAAAGGCTTGACAGTTTTCTTGTTCTTGATATTCTGAAGATTATAAATTATGGGGTTTATGTTAGTTTCTTGATGTTTTTTTCCATCTTTAATATTTCCATATTTAATCCATCAGAGTTTTATCCTTTGTTTTTTTTCACCTGGACAAAGCTTCAGATTTTTAAAAGATGCCTTCTTGCTTCTAAAGCTGGCATAAAAGCTAATCAGTGTACC